CGCCCAAGCGAGGCTCCCAGATAAAATTATGGGAGAAATATTGATGCCCTCGCCCAAGCGAGACTTTCTCGCTCAAGCGAGAATCAGTCAGTAGCTCCCAGACTGACTGAGTTTCACCATGTTCCAATTATCAAACTTTTAGGGGGTTACAGAGTGAGATTATCTAATAGAGTGTGAGTAGATGGATGTAGAGCGTACTGCTGGTTGCCAAAGTCTCTCTATGTTTTATGGGGTATATGTGTGATTTGTGGTAAATGTCCTCTAGGTATATGTGATATCTAGGTATTGTATGTCTGTATAGCTATTTTTTATGTGTAACTCCCCCATCTTCTTGAAACCACTGACCTCATTTTTATAATGGTTGAGGTTCCTGAGAATCTCTTATACTTCTAATCAGCATTCCATCTTTTATTGCTTCTCAGATTATTACCTTTTTATGTTGATATAATATTCATATTTCCAATCCTGGTCTTAGCTTTTTCACTCTGAATCTCTACCTGCCTTATTGAGACCACTATTTGATGCTCTATTTATAACCTTAATGCTAATTATGATTGTTGTCTGATTATGCTTAATTTATCAATATTCTTAATCTGCATAGCTTTGGTGTTATCATTTTTGGAATTATGTTGGTTGATGAGATTTCTCTTCCTGATTCGATTTCTTCTATTGATTTGATTTCTCTTCCTGATTTGATTTCTTTTACTTTTCAGGGATTGAGTGTGGAGATGTATAATTTGGGAGGATCTTCCCATTAAGACACCTAAAGAAGTTAGGGGGGATTTAATTTCCTCTTTAAGTGGATCTATCATGCTTTATTTTAGTATCAAATATTGTTTATTTAAAACATTGTTTTCAGACATTATGAATTGCAATTTTTAATTTCCCGACCATTCATTATTACTTTTTTTTGGATTTTACAAATATTGGTCGGACAAAATTGGGTGTTCACATGGGAGATTTGGGTTTTTTTTTATTTAGGCCACTAAACACGAAAATGATGATATAGAAGTGTTTAGAATTGAAAAAGTGATAAAAATTGATACAAAAAGCACCCAAAACGGATCAAAAAAGAAGTTTTTAGAGAATGGGGGGGGGGGGGGGGTGAACACCACTGAGGAAGAAGATGAGTTTGAAAAAGTGCAGAAAGTTATACATACCTACACAGAGTAATCGATTACTCACATTTGAGTAATTAGTTACTCAATTTAAAAATTTAAAAAATTTCAAACAGTAGTTTTGAGTAATCGATTACACACATGAGTAATCGGTTACTGAAACTCTCTATTTAACCATGTAATCGGTTATTCTCCAGAGTAATCGATTACTGACCCCAAAAAAATAATTTTAGGCATATTAATGCTATGAAAAAGATTTTTGACCCAAAATTTGAAAATTTTATACATAAGTGAACACATTTAAGTACAAGTAGGCATGAGATAAACATAATGAAGCACACATATAATCATATAAATATGTTAAGATAGGTAAGCTTCATCAAGAATGCCTAATTCACGTCTAATTTTATAAAAAGGTTCTTTAGCCAAGGTTTAGTGAAAATATCTGCTAGTTGGTTATGAGTATCAATGAATTCTACAGTCACATCTTTCTTTTGGACATGGTCCATAAGGAAGTGATGCCTTATATCTATGTTATTGGTTCTAGAATGCATAACTGAATTCTTTGTGAGGTTTATAGCACTAGTATTGTCACATTTCAGAGAAGTGCAGCCTAAGTCTAAGCCATAATCTCGTAATTGTTGTTAAGCCACAACACTTGTACACAACAATTACCTGCTGCTATATATTCAGCTCCAGCAATGCTTAGGACAACACATCCTTGTTTCTTGCAAGACCAAGAAACTAAAGCATTTCCTAAAATATGACAAGTACCACTTGTACTTTTCCTCTCAGATTTGCATCCAGCAAAATATGAATCAGAATAACCAACCAAATCACATATACTTCCTTTTGGATACCACAATCCAACGTTAGTTGTGCCTTTAAGATATTTCATGATTTTCTTAACAACAACTAAATGTGATTCTTTTGGTTTAGATTGATAGCGTGCACACAGACATACACTGAACATGATATTAGGTCTACTGACAGTTAAATATAAAAGAGATTTAATCATACCTCGATACTTTGACATTTCAATGCAGTTTCCAGCTTCATCTGTATCAATGCAAGTACCAGATCCTATAGGAGTAGCTATTGGCTTGCAGTCATCCATATCATATCTTTTCAGCAAATCTCTGCAATACATGGATTGACTTACAAAAATGCCATTATCAAGTTGTTTTATTTGTAGTCCACAGAAGTAATTCAACTTCCCCGTCATGGACATTTCAAACTCTTCTTGCATCATTTTGCCAAAATCACTATAAAAAATCCCATTAGTAGAACAAAAAATAATAACATCTACAAAAATTTGAACCAGAAGAGTATGATGATTTGTTTTCTTTATAAAGAGTGTAGTGTCGACCTTTTTGGTAAATCCATTTTCAAGTAGAAAATTTGTTAGACGATCATACCAGGCACGTGGAGCTTGCTTTAAACCATATAGAGTTTTCTTTAATTTGTAAACATGAGAAGGATGTTTGTAATTATCGTGACCCGATTTTCGGTTGGAAGATCGGTCATGCGACTTAGGGAGAGGTGAACTCGATTTCTACCTCTTCCAATTGTTTTGGAGTCGCCACTATGTTTTTTGCGGATAAAACGTAGAAAACTCTAAATATGCCAATTAGGATAAAATGGTCTTTAAGCAGAGATTCTGAGCTCGGGAGTCGATTACGGATCGGGGAAGGCATTAGCACCTCGTCCGCCTGTATTAAAACGGTACCCTTGCTAATAACATGGACTTTTATACCCTTAAAAATTCTTTGATTAAAAATTAATAACTAAAGCAAAATGTTTTATTTTTTATTGTTGTGTCTGACAAGAGTTTATCTTGCTCCTACGTATCCCTAGGTGCAATAGGGAAATCAAGGCTACATAGTTCTGGTATGAAAATTAATTGGTGTTGGTTTAGTTGCTTTGAAATATCGATATAAATTTTATTCACTTTGAGAAAAGATGAAGCAGCAGAAACTAATGTCTCCACCACATCAAGTTTTACAGAGATTTTGGAAATAATTAAAATATATCGTTGAAATTTATTCACCTTTAAGATAGATGAAGCAACAAGAACTAATGTCCGCACCGCATCAAATCTTAAAGAATGCTTTTGAAATAATTAAAATATGATAGAAATTTATTCACCTTTAAGATAAATGAAGCAGCAAGAACTAATACTCACACCACATCAAATCTTACAGAATGTTTTAAAATAATTAAAAATATCGTTGAAATTTATTCACCTTTAAGATAGATAAAACATCAAGAACAAATGTCCGCACCACATCAAATCATAAAGAATGTTTTGGAAATAATTGAAATTTAATTGGAACTTCAATACAAAAGGCATTAACATATACCCATGGATGTGAATTAACTTATTTTGAAGATAAAAAAGCAAAATTAGGATTAATAAAATAATATAGTAATAATAATTGTAAAAAAAATAAAATAAATAATAATAATAATAATAAAATGGGGTGTAAAATTAATTTGGGGGCTAACCTAATGTGTTACCCCCATTTTCACGTGGTTAACGTGGTTAACCAACAAGGGGATGGAAATCCTTACCTTCGGCTCCCACTTCTTCTCCCCCAATTCAAGCGGCGGCAACTTCTTTTCCAGTGGCGGCCACGAAACGGTTCGAGGTGGAAACTATTGGAACTTGTGTAGTTTGATACCATTACTGTGGACCTTAGGATATGAAATTGAAAAACTCACAAGTCCTACATTGGAAGTTTTTGTAAAAACCTCACAAGTCCTACATTGAAAGATTTTGAAAAAATCTCACAAGTCCCACATTGGAGGATGCAAGAGTAGTGACAAAATCTCATTCTATAAATAGAGGTCTCCCCTAGACCTGTCAAAACGGGATACCCCGCTTTTGATTCGGGCTAAAACGGGTCGGGCTAAAAATCTCGGTTATATTTTATGTTGCTAAAAATGAGGCCCAAAGCGGGCTGGCCCGGATTATTTTATTATTTACACCAATGCAAAAAACTGATGCTTTTAATATGTTGTAATCAATTACGAATATATTGTAATCGATTACATCATGTAAAATGCACAGGTCTGATTAGTTTATCAACATGTAATCGATTACCAGGATTGTGTAATCGATTACACTGTTTAAAAAACAGAACACTACCAATGCAAAAAACTGATGCTTTTAATATGTTGTAATCGATTACGAGTATATTATAATCGATTACAACATGTAAAATGCACAGGTCTGATTAGTTATCAGCATGTAATCGATTACCAGTATTGTGTAATCGATTACACTGTTTAAAAAGAAGAACACTTGTGCTTTAGTGCAAATGATCTTAGTTTCATGCATGAGTTTTTCAAAGATCAGCCAATGGCCCGAACCCGAACGGGTAAGCCTGGCCCGAACCCGAATTTATTGTGGCCCGGCCGGGCCGGGCTAAAAAACCCGGTTTAACTAAAATACTGAAACTTTAGTACCCAAGCCCTATACCTTTTCGGGTCTTGGCGGACCGGCCCGCTATACCCGGCCCATTTTGACAGGTCTTGTCTCCCCCTTCATTATTTTTGGCACCAAGAGCAAGTACGATTATACTTGCTCTTCTCTTTCTCCCTCTATAAATTCTGCCGACGCAATTCCGACCTACTTTCTCTCCCTTTCTTTCCGTGACAATAGAGTTGGAACAAGAATCTAATATTGTGGGTATTTCGGAATTGGCACTGGAAGCCATATTTTTTGGTGTATTCGAGAACGATTCTTACTAAGATATCGTATAACATAGAGTTGGGCTATTTTATCCTGGGGACAGCGTTGTTAGTTTGCTTGCACCTTGAGGCAGTACCACAAAACGTCTTAAAGAGAGCGACCTGGTCGTGACTAAGCCAGTAAAGATTATCTCGTGTCATTGTTGCGGACTACCGATCCAACAGAAACAACTCTGATTCCTTATGGTTTCTCGATGGAACCACTCCCTTTCGCAGCGGTTTCGAAAACAAGGTGAGCCACTTCGTTCCTCAGTTCCTTTTCTCGATTTCCTCTCTGGATTGTTTATGTATATGTACGACACTTGAGTTTTTGTGGATTTAGTGTGTATGTGTTGTGCTGCTCTTTGTTATGATGTATATAATGTGCGCCCCCTTTTCTGATGGCTATGTGGATAATGTAAATTGTGTATATGGGTGAATGGATAATGCTTTCTGGTTTTTGTATGTTGATATGGTATGGCTTTTGGTTATTTTGTGGTTTTTTCTGGTTCGTGATATATGAGTGATGGATAGATCAGGAAGATAAGAGTTCTCTGGATGGAAGCTATGGTTATAGGCTTATGTATCTGTGTGATATTCGGTTATGTTGTGGTATGGGTATATGGACTGGAGTTGTGTTACTGTGATATGCGTTCTGTAGCAAAGGTTGTGTATATGCATATGATGTATTAGCATCTATTCTGATATGTGGCATCCCCCTCCTCTCTTCTGTTTGACTGCTCCTTTTATAATGATTGGGGGGTTATTATAAAATTGAGGAACCTGTTGAGTTGCTAACTGAGTCAGAGTAACTTGTAAGACCTATGGTTTTTCTTCATTATTCCCTTTTAAGACTACCCATTATTGCTACTTAACTGTTACTATGAAGATATGTAATTGTAGAATAATGTTTGGTTCGTCTTTCACATGTGACTTTAAGCTGATTACTATTCTTTTAAGTCGCAGGACCGGTCTTCCAACCGAAAATCGGGCGCAACAGTTGGCGACTCTATTGGGGACAACCCGTAAGAGGGTTAGGCCTAAAGCCGCTACTTACATGAACTTAAAAGTAGAAAACTCTAAATATGCCCAATAAGGATAATTTGGTCTTTAATCAGAGATTCTGAGCTCGGGAGTCGATTAAGGATCGAGGAAGGTATTAACACCTCGTCTGCTCGTATTAAAACGTTACTCTCGCTAATAACATGGACTTTTATACCCTTACAATTATTTATTGAAATTCAGCAATAAAAAACAAAATATTTTATTTTTGATTGTTGTGCAGTTCGTCTTATTCCTACGTATCCCTAGGTGCAATAGGGAAATCAAGACTACGTAGTTCTGGTTCGAAAATTAATTGGTTGATTTCGTCGATTTGAAGGTATCGATTTGGTTGAGTAATAAAATGAGTTTTTAGTGAAACATTTTTGATATGGAATTAATAGTTTAGAAACGGCAATGGTTGTAGATCTTCCTCTCCTCGGTTTCTATTCTCCGACGAGCGGCAGCGACGATGGTTCGATGTGGAAACAACTTCGATTCCTTATGGTTCCTCGATGGAACCACTCCCTTTCGTAGCGGTGATGGTTGGGTTATAGGTGGTGATTGAGATACAATGAGGTTGAGATGGTGGATAGAGAAATATGATGATGTATGGTTTTGCTAACCCATGCTTTACTGCAATTATCTCGTCTTTGCTCTGGTTATAAGGTCTATTGTGTTGGCTGATTGTTATCTATATGTATGCTGGTTCTTATGCCTTCTGTTTGATATTAGACTATGTGTATTGGTATGTGGTTTTTCTCTCTCTTGTATAGCAATTGCCTATGAATGTGGTGTATGCCCTCTGGTTTGTATGTGTGGTTTCATTGTTGTAGGTATGAGTGTATGTATGGTTTCTGAGTGTTGTGTATTTGGGACTGCCCTTGTGTATGTTGTATTGTGTTATGTAGGAAAAAAAACCTTTTTTGTGAATTGCGTTAGCCTTTTATAGATGGTTGATGATTTTACATAGAAAGCCTTTGAAGTGCTTTTAGTGCTCTTGGACTCTTGCTTTTCTGATTTAAAGGCCATCAACGTTGGCTCTTAAGAAAAAGAATATCCCCCTCTTTGTTGTATGGAACCCTTGGGTTTTTATTGATTAATAATTCATGGCTCGTTGTAACAGCCTTGTTAATGCCTCTTAATTGTCTCTTTCTGCAATTTTACATGTAACCCTTGGCTGATTCTTCTTCCTCACAATCATTAACCTTTGCTCATTAAGAATGATAATTTGCTGAAGTGTAACTGAAACAATTGCTGCTGCTTTGCATTTCTGATATGATTGTTGCATCTGTCTAGTTATTTCCCATGTGTGACTCACAGCTAGGGATCCCTCATTTATTGGTATTATGTAACATTTCATTTAATGTCTGAAAAACTGACTCTTGGTTTGCATCTTTCTTTTTTGGATAACGAAAAGGAAGCACTAGTAGATAAAGACTGAAGCTCCCTCCTCAATTACTGCTCAATAATACTTCCAGCCATGGCAGTCCACACGAAATAAAAGAAAGGTTAATGAGTCAAGGGAATTGAGAGACAACATTCTATGCTATTCTCTTTTAGATCAGTAGTAATTTCAAATTTCTCAATTTGGCTATTTATCATTCCATTTACCAAATGAACCATGTAAACGAACTTGATTTATGGGTATTATTCCATTGATCATCTTGCATCTAGTCAAAATTTGTATGTGAACCAGTAGCACCATGTGTTAAATGTCTTTTTGATTTTTTTATAACAATCTGCAATATATTCAACAAATTCCACACTTCCCGTCAACAACCTTAAAACTGATTTTTTTTTTTATAAAAGTCACTACTGACAAAAAAAGGATTTATTATTGTTCATAAATAGTCAAATGGAAACTAATTGGTTCTTCAAGACAATGTTGTTTTAAGATTTTTATTTTTATTTTTTTGGAATATAGGCCAGAAAAAATCGAGTTTTCACAACTGTCCTTCTTTACTTGTTGCTTACTTGAAAGCAAGTAAACTGAAGTTTGTATACTATCATAGTAAGTAACTAGTAAAGAAATGAACATGAATTTTGTAAAGGCCTAGACAATGGACATACAAGGTTCAAGACGAATAAAATCAATTTGCGAGCACTCAGTGTCTTGAGATAGTAAAATAAATTTGCGAGCACTCAGTGGCTTGAAACAATATAATAAATTTGCGAGCACTCAGTGTCTTGAGATAGTAAAATAAATTTGGGAGCAAAATAAATTTGCGAGCACTCATTGGCTTGAAACAGTATAATAAATTTGTGAGCACTAAGTGGCTCGAGACAGTAAAATAAATTGCGAGCTCTCAGTGGCTCGAGACAGTAAAATAAATTGCGAGCTCTCAGTGGCTCGAGACAGTAAAATAAATTGCGAGCTCTCAGTGGCCCGAGACAGTAAAATAAATTGCGAGCTCTCAGTGGCCCGAGACAGTAAAATAAATTGCGAGCTCTCAGTGGCTCGAGACACTAAAATAAATTTGCGAGCACTCAGTGGCTCGAGACACTAAAATAAATTTGCGAGCTCTTAGTAGCTCGAGATATTAAAATAAATTTGCGAGCTCTCAGTGACTCAAGACAGTAAAATAAATTGCGAGCTCTTAGTGGTTCGAGACAGTAAAATAAATTGCGAGCTCTCACTGACTCGAGACAGAAAAATAAATTGCGAGCTCTCATGGCTCGAGACAGTAAAATAAATTGCGAGCTCTCAGTGGCTCAAGACTGTAAAATAAATTGTGAACTCTCAGTGGCTCTAGACAGAAAATAAATTGCGAGCTCTCAGTGGCTCGAGACAGAAAATAAATTGCGAGCTCTCAGTGGCTCAACACAGAAAAATAAATTGCGAGCTCTCAGTGGCTCGAGACAGAAAAATAAATTTGCGAACTCTCAGTGGCTCGAGACATAAAATAAATTGCGAGCTCTCAGTGGCTCGAGACAGTAAAAATAAATTGCGAGCTCTCAGTGGCTCGAGACAGTAAAAATAAATTTGCGAGCTCTTAGTGGCTCGAGACAGAAAATAAATTGCGAGCTCTCAGTGGCTTGAGACAGTAAAAATAAATTGCGAGCTCTCAGTGGCTCGAGACAATAAAAATAAATTGTGAGCTCTCATTGGCTCGACACGGTAAAAATAAATTGCGAGCTCTCACTGACTCAAGACAGTAAAATAAACTTGCAAACTCTCAGTGGCTCGAGACAATAAAAAAATGATGTTTGTTTATAGAACGTTCTAGCGTCTGAGTCCAACAATGTTTTTTTTTTATTTGATCAACCACCTTTGAAGGTGTGATTATACTAGAATGATACATGTTTTTTATTTGATCGTATAGTAGTATGCTCTACGATGCATGAATGCATGAACATGTATTGGCCTAAACTGATGAAATTATATGTATGTTTATGAATGACAATAGGTTATGTTTGTTTGATGGAGTGGTGTAAGAACCACGATTGTTAGATGAATTGGTCAAAATTGCATTCAATTTTTGAAAATTCGATTTGATTTTTTTTAATTCATTTTTTCTTCAAAATTGCTCTTCAGCACCCTCACAGCTTTAGATTTCAATATCTTTTCTTGTCTTTGATTGGCAGAGCTGTTGTTGAATTGATTGCTTTCTGAGATCACCTTGGTCATTCGAGAAACTGCCCTAGTTTGCACTATGTGAATCAATTAAATGTCTCAGTGTTTTGTTAATAATTTATTGGAAGAGAAAGAGCTTCAATAAATTTCCCTAGTATCTTTAAGAATTTATTATAAGAGTATAATCTCCAAAAAATTGCCTCAGTATATTTAATAATTTATTGGAAGATTAAGATCTCCAATAAATTGCCCAAGTATCTTTATGAATTTATTGGAAGAGTATGATCTCCAATAAATTGCCCAAGTTTATTTAATAATTTATTGGAATAGTAAGATCTCCAATAAATTGCCTCAGTATCTTTATCATAGACTTGCGGTGAGTCCTTTCAAACATAGATTGTGACTCAAGCTTTGAATGTTCGCTCCAGTTTGCATGGTTGCAGATGAGCAATAATGAGTTTTCACTTGAGGGTGTTCACTTATTCTCCCTAATTTTTGCTCAGAGTACCTATTGTAGGCATTTGTCTGGAATTCTCTCCTTTTATTATGATACTAAGTCGCCATTGAAGGTTTTCGACTTAGCACCACTCTCCTTTTCTTAGGTTTTCCTTGTGGGTTTTCAACCTAGCACTCTTTCTTATATTTTGTTTTTTTTTTGTCTTGACTATTTTTCGAACACCTCAATTGTGATAGTCTTAAGTGCATCAAAGCTTGTGTCACTCTTGGAGCTGATGATAAGATCACTCCCCTTCTTGGTTGAGGGATTTGAGATTGATCCATGATGAGCAACTTCAGGCTTGCCCCAGTTTGATGTGTTGGATGTCATCTCACTCTTCGTATTGTCAATTGCAGGCTTAATCAAGAGGGTCTGGGAAGGAATCTCTTCAAAACTGACTCTTAGTAATTGAATGTCAGAGAAAATAGTTGAATAACTACTGTGTCCCGGGTTATTGATGTTTTTGGGTATTTAAAAGAAATCTCATTTTCAAAAAGTCTAAGGCTCAAATTGGGTGACAATGGATATCTTCGTTGTGTTTGGGATTTTCAAGGATGCCTTGTGTCCTTAGAAACAAAATTGCCTCGGGATTTGCACTATTCATGGTCTTACATTTGCATCATCCTCCATTTCATTCAAATTATTGAAGCGAATATCTCATATTAATGCATGAATTAATTTGGTTTGACTTGTTTGTTTGTTTTTTTCTGTTTTTTGTTGGAATGAGATTTGTGGAATGAAGCGTGGGATGATAATTTGCATGATTAATTCAATAGTATATAATCTTTAAAAAGATATGCAATGAAAACTCAATTTATATTTCTGAAATGAAAACATGAGTGTCTCATTGTTTGATGACATTTAGCCTTGGGGAGAGCAATATGAGTTTCAAAATATGATCTGATTCACCAGTCCCTTGAGGACTTCCAACTAGGAGTTCATTCCTTTGATTTGATTATTTGTTTGAAAATGATTGTTATGAGGGTACTTTGAGCAATAATACATTTACCGTGGATTATTTGAAAATGATAATTATTAAACGGTAATAATTATAATTAACGTAAGATATTTTATATAGCAATTGATTGAAAATGATAATTATTAAACGGTAGAAAATTTACCGTGGATTTAATCTGCTTACCATTGTCTCAATTAGATCTAATTCTGGGGATGGACTGGTTATCAGCAAATCATGTGATGCTTAATTGTGCTGATAAGACCGTTGTGTTTGGAGATCTGGGTGAGATTTATGATGAAACTTGTTGTATGAAGCCATTGTGGGCTAAGTATGTCAGGACTTCCTTTAAGGAAGGAGGAGCCGTGGTTTTTTTGTTGGCATACCTAGAGGGTATTAAGAAATCCTGAATTAAGGATAATCCGATAGTTCGTGAGTTTCCTGAGGTATTTCCTAGTGATATTCCGAAATTACCTCCAGTTAGAGATGTTGAATTCTCCATTGACTTAGTGCCGGGAACAGGACCCATCTCTATAGCTCCTTATAGGATGACACTGTTAGAGCTGGTTGAGTTGAAAAAGCAGGTTGAAAACTTGTTGGCGAAGAAGTTTATTCGCCCTAGTGTTTCACTGTGGGATGCATTGGTATTGTTGGTCAAGAAGAAAGATGGGAGTATGAGGTTGTGCACCGATTACAGACAGTTGAACAAGGTAACTATCAAGAACAAGTATTCGTTACCTAGAATTGATGACTTGATGGATCAGTTGAGAGGAGCAGTTGTATTTTCGAAGATTGACCTTCGGTCGGGGTATCACCAACTTCGAGTTAAGTCGGAAGATATTCCTAAGACTACTTTTCGAACGAAGTATGGGCACTTTGAGTATTTGGTAATGCCTTTTGGTGTGACGAATGCTTCAGCAATATTTACCGACTACATGAATTAGATTTTTCACCCGTACTTAGATTCATTTGTATTGGTATTTATTGATGATATTCTGATCTACTCCAAGGGAAGGGAGGAACATGCAGAACACCTAAGAATTGTTCTAGATCTTCTTAGTAAGAATCAATTGTATGCGAAATTTTCCAAATGTGATTTCTGGTTGGAATCGGTGAACTTCCTTGGACATGTGATATCCTGGGAAGGAGTGGCAGTGGACCCTTCTAAAGTCGAGGCAGTGATGGAATGGGCGGTGCCCAAGTCAGTTACTGAGATCAGGAGTTTTTTGGGTTTAGCTGGTTACTATAGAAATTTCATAGAGGGGTTTTCCAAGTTGGCATTACCCCTGGCCAAATTCACCAGAAAGGGGGAATCGTATGTGTGGACGATCCGTTGTGAAGAAAGTTTTCAAGAGTTGAAGCGGAGGTTGACTACAGCACCAATATTGGTTCTTCCTTATACTGAACGGGATTTCAGTGTTTATTGTGATGCTTCCAAACAAGATTTGGGTTGTGTTTTGATGCAGGAAGGGAAGGTTGTTGCTTATGCTTCCCGACAGTTGAGAACGCATGAGCAAAACTACCCTACACATGACTTGGAACTAGTTGCGGTGGTCTTTGCATTAAAAATCTGGAGACGCCATCTTTATGGTGTAAGATTTGAGGTGTATAGCGACCACAAGAATTTGAAGTATTTGTTTGATCAAAAGGAAATGAACATGAGA